GAGCTGGGGTAGGCTTGATTGTAGTGCCAGGAGATGCCGGTGCATTGTTGCGAGTGTGGAGCAAGCTTTAAAATCTCCCCTCCCCCTACCGCATCCCAAAACCAGCTTGTCCCCGCCTCCCTAACCTGCCCTTCCTCCCGCCTCAAGCCCCACCCTCATCTCTTACCTATTAGCCTCATTCCGCCCCCTTGACCTGTCTGTCCTCCCTGGACTGACCTATCCCCTCCCTAAATCCCCAGCTACACTCACCTTTACTGGCTCCATCCCCGCCTCCTTGACCTGTCTGTCTCCTCTCGACCTATCTTCTCCTCTATCCATCTTTTATCCACCTCCCCCTCTCTCCCTATTTATTTCAGAACCCCCTTCCCCTCCCCCATTTCTGAAGGGTCTAGGCCCGAAACGTCAGCTTTCCTGCTCCTCTAATGCTGTGTTCATCCAGCTTGTTATCTCAAAGTGGTTTTCAGCATTGCCCTTTGAGATTGCTATTAAAGCTTCACCCTCATTAGTAACACTGAACTCACTATGTCTTTGTAAATGCCCTGGAACACACAGCCAGATCCACTGCAGATCCCGTACAATTACAAGATCTGGTGTAGACACCATCAGCTACAGGGCAGGATCCATGCGGTGTGATCTCCTGGGACCCTCTCTCGGCCTGACCAGCCCACCCCACGCGGCCTGGGGCCGCACACGTGTTCCAGTAGCCACATGGCGGGGGGCGGCCCCGCTCCGGGAGCCGGAGGACACCTTTGTTCCCGGGCCGGGGGACACGTTCCTCCTCCCCGGTGGTCTTACCGAACAGAAAGCTCTGCGGCCTCAGCGGCGCTGCCGTCGAACTCTCAATATCACACTCCGCCATTTCTTCGCTCCTTCTATGGACTCGCGCCCGCCCGCTGACCGCCTTATATACCCCGCGTCCCCACCCCAAATCCCGCAAACTCTCGCGCGAGTCCCCGGAACAGGGGCCAATCAGACCGGTCGTTCGAGCCAGAGGGCGCGGACGGAGCTGTCAATCAATGAACACATGACTCCAACGGGGCCAGGTTACGTAATGAGGGACGAGTCTAGGAAACCCTACCTGGCACATCCACCGTTCAATGACATTACCATCACTGAAACCTTCTGTATGTACACAGGGCTTGTTCATAAGGGACTCAGGACCTGCTCAGAAGAGGAGGAACGCAACAGACACCTAAAGATCTGAACGATGCCCTCATAAGAATGGGATACCATGCTCAACTCATCAGTCACCAATTCTGATGTGCCACAGCGAAAAACCTACTCGGAAGACAGACACAGGACGTAACCGATAGAGTACCCTTCATCATCCAATACTTCCCTTTGCAGCCTTCAACATGTCATTGATGATGACGAAAATCTCGCCAAGATCATCCCTACGCCTCCATTTCTCACCTTCTAACAACCACCAAATCTTAAACTGACCATCGTTCGCAGCCCTTAACAACATCACACAACCCTGCCACGGCAACCTCTGCAAGTCATGCCAGATCATTGACATGGCAGATACTCATGTGAATCAGCCAATGTGGTCTACCTTATACGCTGCAGGCAAAGATGTCCCATGGCATGGGGTATTGGCGAGACCATGCCGATGCTACGACAATGGATGAATGGACACCACGTGGTAATTGCCGAGCAGGAATACTCCTTCCCAGTCAGGGAACACCTCAGTGGTCAAGGATATTCAATCTCTGATCTTCAGGTAATCTTCCTCTGAGGCGGCCTTCGAGATGCACAACAACGCAGAATTACCAAGCAGAGACTGATAGCCATGTTCTATACCCATGAAGATAGTTTAAACTGTGATCTTGGGTTCATGTTGCATTACATGTAACCACACCATACTGGTCTGTATCTGTTAAATCTTTCTTACCATCCTGTTTTGACACCATCAGCTTGATAACTTATTATGATCTCCCTACCTTAATTAGTTTGTATAGTTTTGGTTTACTTGTTACTTTGGTTAGACCCTTTGAATGGAACTGTTAATACCTATTATGTTATTCCAGCCATTTGGTTTGTTTCCAGCACCATCTCCTTTAAATTTTTTTGTAATTATCTCTCTGCCTCAATTAATCAGATCATAGGTTAACCCTTCACTTGCTATTCCGCCATTGACACTTTACGCACCAGCAGAGACTTGTTATTCAGCCTGTAGACATTCCACTCACACCATTTATATGATCTTTTGATCTCCCTGCCTATAAATTCTGTGCCTGTGTGCTTTTAGAGTCATATAGTAATACAGCATGGGAAACAGGCTCTTCAGTCCAAACTGGTCCATGCCGCCCACTCAGCCAGTTCCAATTGCCTGCATTTGGTCCATATCCCCCTAAACCCTTCTCATCCATGTACCTATCCAATGTTTTTTTAAATGTTGCTACTGTACCTGCCTCAACCACTTTGTCCAGCAGCCCATTCCATATACACGCTGCTCTGTGCATGAAGTTGCCGCCTCTCGGGTCCTTCTTAAATCTACTACCTCTCACCTTAAACCTATGTCCTCTAGTTTTCAATTCCCCATCCCTGGGAAGAAATGCATTCACCCTATCCATGCCTCCTCACTTCACTTCACCTGATGAAGGAGCCATGCTCCAAAAGCTTGAGATGTCAAAGAAACCTGTTGGACTATAACCTGGTGTGTCATGTGACTTCTGACCAGCTCTACATAGGTTAAGTAAACAGGCAACAAATCTGGCAGAGTGTAATGTGAGTAAATGTGAAATTGTTCACTTTGGCAGGAAGAATAAAAAAAGCAAGCAGTGTATTACCTAAACAAAGACTGGCTGTAGAATTACAAAGTGCAGAGGGATCTAGGTGTTCTAGTGAATGAGTTATAAAAACTTAGCATGCATGTACAGTATGTGAATAGGTTGGCTGATGGAATGCTATACTTTATCACAAGAGAAATTGAACATAAAAGTAAGTACCTTATGCTTCATAAAAACCAAAAGAACTGCGGATGCTGTAAATCAGGAACAAAGGAAGGGTCTGAGAAAGGGTCACCGGACCCGAAACGTTAACTCTGTTTTCTCCTCCACAGATGCTGCCAGACCTGCTGAGCTTTTCCAGCAACTTTGTTTTTGTACCTTATGCTTCAGTTATATAGGGCTTCTGTGTAACCATATCTCAGAAATGCATGCGGATTTGGTCGCCGTGTTTGAAGATGGATGCAAGTACATTTGGAGGTGGTTCAGAGAAGATTCAGAATTTGATACATGGAATGAACATGTCATCTTATGAGGAAAGTGATTAAGAAGCCTAATGGGATACCCTCATTTACTAAGAGGAATTGAAGATAAACTCTGAAAAATGGATCATAAAATTAAGGATGTTACACTACAGTCAAACAGAGCATTGGTGAGACCACATCTCAAATGCTATATGCAGCTTTGACTCCACATTTAAGGAAGGATATTAATGTGTTCTGGTGATTCAGAGGAAGTTTACTAGATTGACATCTGGAGTGGGTTATCTTGAAAACAGGTTGTACAACCTGGGCTTGCTTCCACTAGGCACTAGAAGAATTGTGGGGGGTGTGTGAGAGAGAGATTCAGAGTGGAATCTTGACAGTTGGACATGGAAAGAATGTTTCCTCTTGTGGGTGAGTCCAGAAATTGAGGGTACTGTTTTAGAATTAGAGATAACAGTTTTAGGACAGAGATGAGGCGAAGTTTCTTTTAAGGTTGTGCAGCTTTAGCAGATATAGTTTAATTTGGATAAATGCAAAGTGTTGCATTTTGGTAAAACAAACAAAGGCAAGACTTATACAATTAAAAGTAGGGCTTTGGATGGTGTTGTAGAACAGAGAGACCTAGGGGCTCAGTTCCATAATTCTTTGAAGTTTGCTCCAGATATAGATAGGGTGGTTAAGAAGGTGTTTAGCACACTTGCCTTCATTGCTCAGACTTTCAAGTAGAGGAGTTGGGACATTATGTTGAGATTTTACAGGACATTGATGAGGCCTCTTCTGGAGTAGTGTCCAGCTCTGGTTGCCCTGTTATAGAAAGGATATCATTAAGCTAGAGAGGATTTAGAAGACATTTACCAGGATATTTCTGGGAATGGAGGGTTTCAGTTGTAGGGAGAGGCTGGATAGGCTGGGACTTTTTTCACTGGAGCGTGGGATGTTGAGAGGTGACCTTATTGATGCTTATAAAATCATGAGAAGTATAGATAAGGTGAATGGCAGGTGTCTTTTCCATAGGGTGGGGGATTTTAAGACTAGGGGGCTGTGTTTTTTAGGTGAAGCACAGTTTTAAGGTGAGAGGAGAAAGATTTAAAAAGTGACATGAGGCAATTTTTCTTTCCCACACAGAGACTGGTTCGTGTGTGGGACGAAGGATGTGGGTACAGTTACAACATTTAAAAGACATTTAGATATATACATGTATAAGAAATATTTGGATGGATATGGGCCAAGCGCAGGCAGGTGGGACTAGTTTAGTTTGGGATTATAGTCGGCATAGACTGGTTGGACTGAAAGGTCTGTTTCCATGCTGCATGACTCTATAACTCCACCTCATAAATGGGGTGAAGGTGTATAGATTCTTGCTTGGCAAGGAATCTAAGGTTATTAGGGATAGCTGAGAATGTGGAATTCAAAACACAAACAGATCTTATTGAAATGAAAGAGCAGGCTCAGGGGGCCGAATGGAATATTTCTGATCTTGGCTCATATGTTCATAAATAGTAGGGCAGGTTACAAGGCAGCTAATTATTAAGGGAGGGAGAGACAGTGCCACATGGAAAGAGGGAAGGAAGGAAGGGGGTAAGGAAGAAGTAGAGGGGGTAGGGAAGAAGTAGAGGGGGAGAGAGAAAGAGATGGAGGAATAAGGACAGGGAAGGCAGAGAGAGAGAGAATCATGCTACTAAGATTGAGCTGGACACATACGGACAGAGGGGCTGTTTGGGAAGGACAGAGAAACATAAAAACTCTCCCTGCTCAAAATCTGGATACACACTGAGCCAGATGAGAAGGAAAACCCAGGCTAACAGTCAACTTGCTTCTAAATACACTTTTGTATGAATTCCACTGAGGCTAGCTTTGAATGTGTTTACCTCTGGCAGCGCACATTTTAACCTAGATTTAAGGTATTATTTAACACTTCAGCAATGCACTCTCCCCCTACATGTACATCCCCTTTTTAGCTCCTCATTGGTCTTTCACCTCTTTTACACCCCTTTAACTATATTGTATACAAATTTTTGGGATTTTCTCAAATGTTGGCTGCTGGTCTCTTTATACTCACTATTTGCTTTGCTTTTTAGTTTCTCAAGTCCCCATTAAACCTTGTGTGTTCAGCCTGGTTCTCAATTGTATTTTCTACCCAACACCAGTCAGAAATACACTTTTCTTCTTCATCATCATCATCATTTTGATCTGTCATCCAGGGTTTCTGGCTTCATTTGAACTGTCCCCCATGTGGGAATATACCTTGACCACATCTGAAGGACCTTTGAAGAGGCAAAAACAGAATTACAGACAAGGTAGCCTGACCTCAAGAGGAGGGAAAAATGCTGCTGTCTACGATAAAGGATGTGATAGCAGGCTACAAAAATCAACAAGATTAGACAAAGTCAACATGTATTTACAAAAGGGAAATCATGTTTGACAAAGTTACTGAAGGCTTGAGGAGAACAAATTAGTGGAATAGATAAGCGAACCAGTGGATGCAGTGTATTTAGGTTTTTGGAAGGCTTTTAATAAAGTCTCATTTAAGGGTTAGTGTTCAAAATTAAATCACATGGTGGTGGGGTGATACACTGGCATGGACTGAGAAGTGATTAAGAGAGAGAGAACAGTAGGGGTAAATGGGACTTTTTTTGGAATGGAAGAAAGTAAATGGTGGGGTATCGCAGGGATCAGTGCTTGGTCCTCAGCTATTTGCCACTTACATAAATGATTTAGATGACAGAATCCAATGTAATACTTCCAAGTTTGCTGATACCACAAAACCAGGTGTGACTGAGTGGTAAGGAGGACGGTTAAGAAACTTCAGGGCAATTTAGACAAGTTGACCGAGTGGGCAATCACATGGTAGATGCAATATAATGTGGACAAGTGCAAAGTTATACACTTTAGTCGGAAAAACAGAATGGCAGAGTACTATTTAAACAGCAATACATTGGGAAACAGTGTACAAAGGGACCATGCAGTTGCAGCAAGCAGTTAGAAAGGCAAATAGTATGTTGGCCTTCATTGCAAGAGGATGAGAGTACAAGAGCAAGGAAGTCTTACTGCAGCTGTACAGCGTTTGTGGAGACCACATCTAGAGTCATGTGTGTGGTTTTGGTGCCCGTACCAAAGAAAAAATATATTTACCATAGAGAGACTGCAATGAAGATTCACCAGACTTGGCACGTTTTGTCATATGAGGTGAGAATGACTAGGCCTCCTATATTCACAGGAGTTGGGAACAATGAGAGGAGATCTCATTGAAACATGTAAAATGCTTGCAGGACTGGACAGGCTGGATATAACCGTAGTTTCCCGACAGCGCTGCTGACATGGCTTGCTTCTTCAACAACCATGGTTTCCCGCCCAGTGGTTGACAGGGCCCCTCAAGCGCATCCGACCTACCACCTATGCTTCCCATCACTCTCAGCAGCGTGATCGGGTCTCCCTTGTCCTCACTCTTCATCCCACCAGCCTCCACATTCAAAGAATCATTCTACGCTATTTCAGACAACTCCAGCAGAATGCCACCACCAAACCCATCTTCCCCTCACTCCCCCTATCTGCATTTCACAGGGATCATTCCCTCTGGGACACCCAAGTGCATTCATCGACCATCAACACCATCCATCCTTCCCACGTAACCGCAGCAGGTGCAACACCTGGACCTTCACCTACTCCCTGCTCACCGTCCAAGGGCCTAAACAGTCCTCCCAGATGAAGCAGCATTTTCACTTGTACCTCCTCCAATCTTGGGCATTGTTTTTGCTACACCCAATGTGATCTACTCAACATTGGAGGAACCGAACGCAGACGGAGTGACTGCGGTCTGTACACAAGATGACCTCGACCTTCCCATACCTAGTCATTGTAGCACAATGTCCTGCTCGCATGCCCACTTGTCTGTCTTCAGCATGCTGCAGTGCTCCAGCAAATCACAGCACAAACTGAAGTAACAACATCTCATCTTTAGACTGGGTACTTTACAGCCTTCTGGACTTAATATTGAGTTCAACACTTTCAAGTTGTGAACCAAATCCCATTCCTTCCCTTTCTTTTAACTTTACTTTTTAACGTTCTCTGTCACCACGTCCTCTCTCCCCTCCTCCCATCCCAGTGGGGACTATCTGTTCCTTTCCAGTCTGGCAGTCAGACACACTGTTGTTCTGCCATTCTCAAATTCTGATCACTTAATCTGAACTATCAACATCCTTTCTCTCCCAGCACTCTACACTCCAAACCCCCCACCCCCTGCCAAACTATAGCATAAGTGCTGTCCCCACCACACTTCACCAGCTCTGAAGAAGTGTTATCTAGACTATTAAGAAGTTAGCTTACTCCTTCTCCATGGATGCTGCCTGGCCTGCTGTGATCTCTGGCATTTGTTGTTTTCAGTACAGATTCCAGCATCTGCAGTAATTTGCTCCTACACTGCATACCAGGGATGGTGTTTCTTCTAGCTAGGGTGCCAAAGCAAGGAATCACGGTAGTGGCATTCGTGGCAGGCCCATTTCAGACTGAGCCAAGGAAAAATATCTTCATACAGGAGGGTGAATCTGTAGAATTTCCCCACCACGGACAGCTGTGAAGGCCAAGT